GAAATCCGCTAAGTTATTTCTCTTGATTCGTTAGATGCCGGAAACTTGAGTATTTAAATTTGAATCTAAATGTAAACGTCTCCATATTAATAGCGGTTCTCGATAGACATACCATATGTAATATTCCACCGACAAAAGCCAATGCTTGTTTCCTTTTTATTTTGTCACTTACGCTCCATCATCACCAGTCCCTTGACAGCTTCGATCGTTGGGTGGATACCTAAGGGTAGAACAAAACTCAAACCTACTTCCGGATGATCTGCTGGCGGTGGCTTTCAAGAGTTTCGGCATTGTCATGTCTGTCCACACTTTGATGTTGTCTGACAAACTTTTGCGTTGCACTCTCTGCTTGCGTCCGCCTTCAAAAAGTTCCTAGCATTATGATCTTGCGGAAGCTGTTATATCGTGTGCCATAGCCAAAATATAATAACTTCCGACGCTTAATAATGGCGTGAAGAAATTCCTGTCGGTCCACGAGACTTTTGTCCTTGTTCCATTCACAGTCATTGATTTTGGGCTCCCAAATTTGTGCACGCGATAAAGAGTATTAAGTATTCCTTTTCCATTATAAATGTTTTTTTTTCCCCCAGAAACGTGTTTAAAGATTAAATTTAGGTTCCTGTTGGCACACGAGAATTTTGTCCTTGCTCCATTCAGTCATTGATTTTGGGCTCCCAAGTAATACTAAATATTTCTTTTCCATTATAAATCGATTTCGAAATCGTGGCATTGCACTCAATTTGAAAGTTGGTGTTTGAAATGATAAATAATGACAGAAATTTTTTTTCCAAATCGCTACTGTTTTTTTTTTTCGAAACGTGTTTAAAGATTAAACTTAGGTTCAAAATGGGAGCGTTGTAATTTTATTCCGGTGATCCTTGAAAACCTTACAGCACTGCGTTATAAAATTTATAATTGCGATATATGCAGTTATTTGTTTTTAAATTGAAAGGTATAATAAATTCCATAATCAATGACAGTATATTTCCATCATGATCCATGGAATAAAGCGACAGTTGACCGGCATACAGAATGCACAATGATTTCGCAGGAAATATTCATTTGTTACGTATTGAAGTCAGGTGAATTGAAGTTGTGGGAAGATGCTATACAAAGATGTGTTCATTAGATAAGTAAATATTTATTCAAACTTAATTATATATGTCAAATTACGAGTCTAATTTTAAAATTTCATAAATATTATATTAAAAAATATAACCAATTATGGAAAGATTCTTAATATAAAAATAATATTTGTTTTGTTTCAGAAGTAGCAAGCCACCACAAAAGAGATTTTTAAAATTACATTCATCAACTCTAAAACGACACAGTGGTCAAATTTAATTAACAGTTCACTGGCAAAATGTTTTTCTAATAAGGAATTGCAAGAGGTTATAATGAATGGATCGACGTTGGAGTTGCTGAATTTACATGCAGATGTGCAAGGTCTGGAAATAACATTTATATTAACTCATGAAACTACAAATTATATATATTGAGATGAAGCAAGAAAATGCATATTATTGCTAAACCATTGTGCCATAAAATGTACTTCAAACAGAAATTATACTGAACAATTTAGTTATATTATGATCTTTCAATAAACATCAATAAACATTAAAATATATTTTGAGACCCTTGCATTTATTAATATGAGCAAACAAATGGTTTAATACCTGAACATTTTGTGATTTTTAAAATTTTTACAGTTTTTACTTATCGAATACAGCAAAATTTGCATATTTTCCTTGTACTCTTTCATAATTAAAATTCTGCTTCGAATATATTTTCCATTCAATTTATCTAATATAAAAATTATCCACTTTATTTGGATTTATTGTTGAAATAGTTAAATTGTGCAGTCAGTTTGTAAGCAAAATTCCTGCAGCAATTGTGTATTTCAGAACATGTTTTCAGATGTACTTTCAGACTAAATGCCCCCCAAATTGGAAAAAATATGAATCTACTTTTTTCTGCCAATATTTCCCACAACATACTACAGTTTCGCATATCGTGCAATGTTGATTTTCTAAAAACTAAGTGAAAAATCAAAGAGACCTATTGTAGTTGTCGTTATCAAATCAATTTCATACGGAAGTACCGCTGTAGTGAGCCTCATCTCCATATACCTCATGTATCAAAGCAATCTAAACTTAATCTTCAGATTGAATAGAAAGGTTTTCATTTAAAGAAAGAATTTGCATTGTATTCAAAACACTTATGAAAGATTTGGAGATATTTGTATCAATTATTAATTCTCCATGAATATATTTTTAATCACCTTTCTTTTGCGTGTAACGTGCCGGATCTCGAACAAGTATTCAAAAGCAAGAAAAAGAAGTAGATTTATGTTTGCAATCATTGGAAGGTGTGGCATTCATTGGTTTCTGCCGTAAATAATCAGGAACTTTTTTTCGCCTACACAAGTTAAGTAGAATAATTTATTCTAATAGAGGTTACCACATGACAGTAAACTCTTGAGAGTAGCTGCGATGAAACACAGAGACACGACAAAACGATTCCCCCGGGGTCAGGTTAGAGCACGAAAATAAGTTGAAAAACGAATCTGGACAGATTCAATTTGAATTATATCCGTTCGGGTCTAACCGCACACCGACCTTGGTGAATTAAGAAATAAATTAGATTCAGTTTGTTCTGTGCTTTGTATATAGATATATATCTATATCTATATATATCTATATCTATCTATCTATATATATATATATATATATATATATATATATATATATATATATATATATATATATATATATATATATAGCTTAAGGAAACATATTTGACATATTGAAAAGCAAACTAAACAGAAAATACTAAATGATTTTTTTTTTTTGGATAGAAGCCGGTGAAGTATAATTAATAAATTAGTTTTTTTTTATGTGAATAGAAAACGATAAATTTCATTAATCTCAGATATGCTAACACAAACATCGGAATGGGTCATGTATTAAGAAACCGATAGTATATAAAATATAAGAAAACGCTAATTTAAATCAAAGTTATTCTAAAAAAAAAAAAAACGACCGATGATAAATATAGATCTAAATTTTCATATGTATATGATATATGGTGCCATAGCCATTCACAAGAATCTCAACTGTTTGCTGAATTGAACGACTTCCTTAGATCAATCGTTAACAATGAATTTGAGAGTGTGAGGATGTTGAATCTTGGAGAAAGATCATCCGTTTTCGAATATTTTGGACTGGTGCTACCGAAACTCAGACAAAGAACTGTGCCAAATAACAGTGTGCATCCCTTGGGGTCTCAAGAGCTACAGCAGCTAAAATGAATATCATATGTTACCCGAAGAGAACATAATGACATAATCATGATGTTCACTTTCCACATTATTTGAAACAAATGTTTATGAAAACCCCTGTCAATACTAGAAAGAGCAATAACAGCCACTCAACTTGAGAAAGTTATTTTCCTGAAAATTTACTCTAAATGAAATATTTTGTACATTTCAATCGACTGTAGTACATTGGTCAATGAATTTTGAATATTTACTTAGAAGGAAACTGCTAATATTGCCATTAACCTAATCGCGTAATTAATAAACAGTATGGTTGTTTAATGTGTTACTTTATTAGTGTACTCTAAAAACCTAACTGTGATACATAGTTTGCAGAATAGTATTGAATAGGGAATAATATGAAGAGCATCTTGAAATTCTAGACAAGATTGATTTACGCTGCAGATATATTCGACTAATCCATGTACTCGATTAGGACAAAGATTGTGCATGTCTATAGGGAGAAATCTTTAATGAATATAAAAACATAGAAAATGGAGTAAAACAAGGAAGTGTTTTCTCGCTATATTTAGTTAACCTAAACGGACAAACAATCCTAAGAGCAGTAGACTACACTCAATTATTTATTTGGGGTGGAAATAATCTCAACGTAAGCAGATGACACTTTATTTTAGGCTCAGAAAGAAAATTGAAATATTTGAAGGGGCATAAAAAAAGTGAAAAATGTCTTACAGAAACTAAGACATTTCAAACTAAGAAAAGACTTATGAGTTGGGAACATATACCTAAATGCCTAAAAAAACAAGTCCTGAACTACTATATAACATTCTAATCTTCTATACGGCAGGAAAAGCTCGACAAATTCCTCACTTCAGAAAATAGAAAAAAAAAACAAAGCATGGACATATCATTTGAAAAACGTGGCTGTCTTAAGAAGAAGAAAAATTGGAAGGAATCTTATTTAAAATCAGAAAGAGAGATGAAATGTCTATGGAACATAATGATTTAGTTGGATTTGTTCAGGGGCAATGGTCCAGGTTAGGACCAAGGAAAACAACACGAACACAAGAGTAGAAATAACGAAGGTATATTACACGAAATAATAATACAAGATGTGGAAGGTGCTAGTATGACTGTCAGTCTGGTTTGGAGTGAACGAATATCGGCTCGGCTTGATTCGGTATCTAGCCACCCCCCATGAGGGTTGCATGTGGCACAAGGCCGAGTTTAACGTGGGTTTCCCGAGCCCCCAGGCTCCGCCACAAAATGCCCGTAGAAACTGTAAAACAGAATCGGGTTGGTCAACCTCACCAAGCGAGGCTCTGCCCTTCGGCGGAGCCTCGTCCGAGTTCCTCACTGCTCAGAGGCAGAGAGTTCGACCGTCAAGTCGAGAAACTCGGCTTGATTCGACCCTCTCTCTTGAGAGGCGTGGTATACATAGTGTTAGAAAGAGTTCATTCTGTCGTTATAGGTAAGGACCCATAAGAATTATTATTGTCGAATTCTAAATATTTTATACGCATTTTATTTTATTTTGGGTGATAATAATGGACTAATGCTACAATTATTACTAATTAACCCATATCTGAAGGAGAGATGGATTCGTATCTTCCCCCAAATTATTTGAGCGTAAGTGAATATAACAAACCCAGTTGGAATTGCAACTGGGCTCCCCGATTAATAATTCCGTGTCATTATCAATTACGCCACTCGCAAATCCATGCTTACAGCGCCTGGTATTCCCAAGTGGTCACTCGTCTAGGTACTGGCCAGGCTTGACGTTTCTTAACTCCGTTGATCATACAGGGATCGGTTTTTCAACGTGATATGGCCGCAAGCAAGGATACATCACGAGGAAAGATACCGTAGAGAAATTCACAGTATATACTAAATACAATCGAAGAGGAGTTAAAAGCCAGTAACCTGTTTATAGCAACAAATTATGATGTCATGGAAAGCCAGCATCAAGCTGAACTTTTGGTACATGAGAAAGCATTAATTCTCCAACACTTCTTTTAAAAACACAAATGTGTTCTTTATCTGTGAATTGGCATGAATTCTTGGAAAAAGATAACGGAGTGGTTTCCCGTTGCCTTCTCTACGGATTGAAACTGAGAATTCTCCTTTTCTATGAATGTCATCGAAATCTTCCGAATACAATCTAATCTGCTTTTTAGGCCAAAGTTTGTAGTAGCGAAAATATTTGTTTCATGCCTTTCCCTAGGGCAACAGTGCGAAAGGGGAATGAAAAAGTCCTGAATTTGAATTTGGTTGGCCCAATCAACTTTTTGTTAATAACCACTCAACTAAACGTACATACTCCTGGAATAAATTAAATCCTTACCTCAATCACCCGATTTTGATATTTTGACTGCTAATCTTTTATGATAGCACTGATCAGTTATAATAAGTATAAGGCATAATAAAATAACAAGAACTAAATTATGGTTTTAACTTGAGCTGGTCATATCGGATATTTTATCTTCGGAATAGTTATATTTAAAGTTAAATGTCTGACCACGACTGACAGAAATAATCTGGCATCTAAGTTTAGTTGGTAGGTCGGACAGATTTTAGTATCAGATCGGAAACTTCCTGCATATACTGGGTCTGCTTGAATCGAGTAATCTGTTTTATATGAGAACTGGAAAACCGTGATGGAAAACAGCGACTGATGTTGGAGTGAAATAAAGGGTGTGTAACATCCCAGAATCATATCAGGTGGAGAGGACATTGCAAACGAGAGGCGTTTTCTACACTGATGAATGATTTCAAATAAGCCGGTGTCACTTCCATGATCAGCTTTCAGTTTCAATTTAATTTTGTACTCTTGCATAAATATTATTACAACTAACGAGAGAAATAAAGAAAAAGATCGATTTAGAAATACACGAAAAAACGAACAGATTTTCAAGTGTAGACATAAGCTCAAATATAAAATTTCCTAAAAACGTTGACTTTTGTGGGATACAAACTTGAAGGATTGATTCGTCTATATGGGTACTAATACTTGTATTCATATATATATATATATATATATATATATAAAGGATGAATTATATATAAAATAACACAGAATCGTATGATACGCAATATAAACACACACACATATAAATGGTGTTTTATTAGGACGGATTATATGTAAGGGCGTTTCATTAAGACGGATCAAAGTCAGCAGTAAATAAATCAGTGTTATTTGTGAAAATTTATTTATTTCTCTATTGGAACATGTTATTTAAGTTGTGGCAATTATGTGTGAAATATAATATCGCCCAAATGTCCGCGAAATCTGAAAGAAAAAGAAAAATTCATTAGACGCTTAACTTAATTTACATTTAAAAGCGGTCCAAGTTATTGGGACTTCCTTTACACACACACACACACACACACACACACACACACACACACACAGATTTTCCAAGCCTAGCTCAGATGTGGCACAAGGCCGAAAGTGGGGGGGAACCCAGTGAGAGTCGAACTCACTATTCATTCGTAGTTGTTTTAGCGAGACAAGCTTGCTAACCATTAACAGGGTTACTATAGTTGTCATCTGTGATTACAAAGTTTCTACTACAACGAGCATTACGAAAGTGACAACGAGTATTCATGGCATCATAAAAGTTGTAACGAATGTTCGTTGATATTACAAAAATATGAACACAAATTTTTTTTTTAGTCTGTATGCATGGGTTCATAATTTTAGATTTCCCATTCAAAAGGATTTTTTCGTCTGGAAATGTTATTATAGCTTACTTTTCTTGTTGACAAAGGTTGCAGATATTACTATGATTTTTGTAAGGTTTGGCCTTTTAAAAAAATTCCAGTTCACAATCGTATCTTTTTTTTATTTTTTCCTTTAATTTTCACACATGGTTGGCTAGTCTAGTAGTATTCCTAAGACTCTATAGCTTAAATGATGAACACTGATTATACTACGTTTTCTTAAAGTGACCTTCAGTACACGCTATCTATTCTTTCTGACCACTTGTATCTATTACTTCCGCTTTGTAAATAACTGCTTCAGCTTTGCAAACTCCATCTAATTGACATCTACTTTTATTTCGACAGTTGCATATATCACTGTTAACGACGTTTTACTGCACATTAGTTTTAAAATTTCTGGCCTTTTGGCTTTTTATTGTGGTTTCTGAATGACTAGTACAGCGTTAGCATATTTTAACTATGTATATTTTATATAATTTGGAATTTTTCGGTAAGTATTTAGTAAGTAATTTTAAAAATATTTTCGCTTTTTTACACTTGACCTCTAACTTGAAAAGTGTTGGTAGGGGTGGTGGATTTAAACCAAATAATATTTTTCTTTTCCTTGAATTGCCTTTCATTTGTTGTTTTATTTGAGGTTTAAATTCCAGTTTGGTTTTCTTCTCCTCTTCTTTTAAAGTCTTTTCATATTCTTTCATTTTTTATCTTCAAAAAATATTTTACCAAATGAATTTCTATATACCCTGGACTGTATTCCCTTTAGGGATGTGCTTTATTATACTCGTAGTGTGGTTGGATCTAACATATACGTATTTTAATTTTGTGTTGGATTTCATGAATGGGGAGACACTGTCAGTTTGTAGTTTTAATTCTATATCGAAATATTTGACAATTCTATTATTCATATCGATTCCATTTCAAAATCGAAAGTTTTGAAAAGTTTGAAAAGCGCTTTTCTTATATTGACATTTGTTCTTCTTTTGTCTGGCACTATCATTAATTCGTCATCCCTATACAGGCTGCGGTTGTTTATATATACCATTTTGCTGATTTCATATAAAATATATGTACCTATAAATTCTGAAACTCTGCACCATCAAATAATCTTGTGGTACACCGAATGCGTACTTTTTTTATTTATTTTTTAATCCAAAATGGAACAAAGTTGAATTACGGCAATTTTAAATTATGTCCACTTGTTCAGATGTTATATTTACGAAGCCTTTCGCTAAGTACAAAGCCTCAAGCAAACCTTTTTTATATATGGATGATTAAAAGTTTTGTTTTTATTATGTCGTATTTTATAAATATTTATTTATCTTTATTTTCAATTTTGTGGGAACAAAATATGCATTCAATTCTGTCCATCCAGACCCTCAGATTTTTTTTCAATATTTCTTCGCTTATTTTACCCAATTTAGTTTTGGTTGCATTTATCAGTCTAAAACAAGAATTATTGTGGAATTCATTTTCATGGTCTGTTATGGTTAGAAATGCTTGCTGGCAGCATAATATATGGACCTTGTTATTTATACCTGGTTTGGCTCTGATTTTTTCGCCACCTCATTAATACATTCGATGTACATGTTTGGTGTTTTCTTGTAAGTTTATTTTCTTCATTTAATTATGTTTAAGTCTCCGGGTTCATAGTATAAATATTCTTTGCTTTGTCTCCTTTAACTAGAATGTATTTAGTTCCATTTATTTTCTACTTCAGTAGTTAATATTTTTGGGAAATTACTGTTATTTTTTGTGAATTTAATGTTGTCTATCATATCAAGCATATCTTTTTCGAAGTTAGCCAGCTCTTCAATTTTTAGTTTTGAATTTGAATTTTTCCGTGTTTTCTTTGTTCTTTAAATCTTTGTTTAATGGAAATAGTGTCTTCCATCTCATTCTGGCATGGAGTTGATTATTTTGTGTAATAAATCTAGCGTGTATTCATCCTTGTATGGAATAATGATTTTTTTTATCGAGTGCGATATTCTGAATTCTTGCATTGTATTCTCCTCCAAAAATTTGGTAAACAATCGTCGTGCGTTTGAAAAAGGCCTGTGTAATAGTGAATTAATACACATAAAACATGTAATATGTTTGAGTGTACCTGTTATGATTGTTTATGAAAGCGTAACAACATACACTGAAAATGAAAGTGCTCAACTGTAATAAGGGAGCGAAAGTTATAATAATAAAAAGAAGTTAATGGTTAGGGTTGAATTAGACTGGGAAACAGTAGAATTAAAAAGTGCTCAATAAACGTATAAAAATAAAATATTAACATCTAGTGCTTTTAATATCTGTCTATATCGCTAAGATTAATATTATAATTATTTACATTACTCGGACTGTTATCCTCGTTGCTATATTCACAACGTTTCGGCCTTTTTCAGAACCGTTTATTTTGTCCATCAGGGTAGAATGTTCTAGTTCTACGTGCCATACTTCTTCCGGATGTCACAGTTATTTCCCTTTAAGTCAACTCTCTAACCGTTTTGGTTCACCACTGGATGTAACCAGCGTAATTTCATCCATTTGGCTATGTGTCTTTGAGGACATCTGTATATGAATTTTTATAAACCTAATTTTTACAACCGTTTTCACCAGTGCTCGTATAGGACATATAAGAAGAAATAGGCCGCCCTCTTAAGATAAGATTGCAAGATTATCGTAAACGTGAAAAACGAGGGAAAATAGAAAAATCCGGCTTATCTGGCCACATATGGAGGGAAAAGGGAGGTCACTGCCCCCTGTGGGTTAAAATAAAAGACAGAGAACATCACTGGAAATACGAAAACTAAAGGAATCAGCACATATGCTAGGCGACAAATGTCCACTGAGCCGAGTAAGCATAGAAATGAATAAAACATGGGAACCAGTAATAAGGAGTTCTAGAGAAAAACAATGAATAACAACAAAAAATTGCAATATAAGCTGTGGTGAAAATATTATGTAGTAATATATAACGGAAAAATTGCAATATGAGCACTGGTAAAAAAGTTTGCTGAGAAATTCATAAAGAAATATCCCCGATGACACACGGCCCAGTGGATAAAGGCGTTTGTTAGATAGTTGTGAGTTTGATACCAGGCTAGGGCAGTAGTAAAAAAAAAAAAAA